TCCGCCTTCTCCACGGATTACAACACGCAAGGGGCTTCGGGACATGCCCACGGGGCCATGGCGGAGTGGAGCCAGTACCCGCTGTTCCCGTACGCCTGCTGGGGATCCCGCACCACCCTTCCCCGTGGAAAGACTGATGGAAGGTTGTAAATGAGACCAGGCCTGCTCTGGAGCGCGACCTCGTCTGCGCTGGGCGAAGAGGCGGCGCAGCACAGGGTGGCGTGCGGCACCCCCTTCCTCGTCTCCTTGCTCCGTGCCTGCTCCGTGGTTTCACAAGGGCCGCACCGAGGCTCTGCTCCGCTTTCTTTCCAGCGGGAGCAGGAAACCACAAGAACTGTGAGAGCAGCCTTTGAAGAGATGCCGAACTCTCCATCCCAGGCTGTTTCCATCTTGCATTTGGGAGTTTCCAAACCCCTTTCCTCCCGGGACATGTTTGCAAGGAGATAGGGGCAGAGGAGCTTCAACGAGCCTTCCAGGTGGCCATTCCAGCAGCTTGGTCATGAAGCTGTAGAGAAATCACTGCATGGACAAGCAGAGCGAGCAGTCCTGGTGTCCCCTGCGCAGCCTCCTCCCTTAGTGTAGTCAGAGCACAGCCAGGGTCTTGCCTTCCTCCCCGCAGCCCGTGCCAGCGGAGGAGCAGCCGTGCGAGTGTTCCTGGAGCGTCGCCGCGGCTCACGCGAGCAGGAGAAGCGGCAGCAAACGGCTCTGTGCTGCGTCCTGTGCCCACCCCTCGTCCCCCAGCGCTAGGTTTGAGGTTAGTGAAGCTCCTGCTGCCCGTGAGGGGTCGTTCCCAGGACGTTGGGGCTGCTTTGGGGGTCCCCAGAGGCCTGGGGTTGTCAGCGAGGGAGCCGTGAGCAGCAGTGTCGCTCTGGCCTCTTCCTTGCCGGGAGGAAGTCTGTCCCTGTGAACTTCCCTCTCCCATCCCCGCCCAGCGCCCCCGAGAACATAATTTATAGCTGTTGTTAATGCGCTGCCCCGCAAACGCGCGGTCGCAGCACAGTTCTGAGCAGCCTGGCCCTGCTCAGCGGCCGTTGGCGCTGAACTGCCCCGTATCCTGCTGGCGCTGACCCGTGTGCGGTGCCACACGGGCAGCCGGGCTCCGCGCCCGCCCGGGCACCCCCTCTGCCGCCCTCCCGCAGTCCGTAGGGATCCCCGGGTGCTGAGAGGCGCCAGGGCAGCTCCACCTCCGCTGCGGCCGCACGTCGCATCCCGTCGTGTTGCGCCCAGGACGCTTTAATGCCCCCGTAGCAAGGGGGAGGCATCTCCCCTTGCTCCCAGCTGCAGCCATGGAGGACACACGGTCCTAAAGCAGGACAGACGTTTTCCTAGGTGTTATTCAGGGTGTGTCTTCTTGTAACACTCCAAATAAACCTGTGTTGTGGTGTGTAGCCATCAGGAGGCGGCGAGACGTGTCGTGTAGTGTTTGTGCCCATGGCGGGTGCAGCAAGACGCCGAGCGGGGGCTGCGAGTGCAGCGCGGGCACCGTCCCCAGGTTCTTCCCCTGGGGCTGGTGAAGCCGGCGGCCGCGTTGCCATCGCCCTGTGCCCGGGCTCGGCCGCTCTCTGCAGTTTCTGCTCTCACGTTAGAGCCTGGGGCAGCCGGGCCGGAACGCGGCCGCGCGCACGGGAGCTGGTGCAAAGCCCCTCTGCCGCCTCAGCAAAGGCAGCGGGACGGCCGGCCGGCCATTAAGAGCACTAAAATAAGCACCTCCTTGTGCTTTTTTGCCTCTCTCTGGAGCTCCCCTGTGGCTCTGCGCTTGCCTCAGGGCCCAGGTCGGGCTCTACGTGCGCCGCCGAGCGCCGCGTTGGCACCGGCCCTGCCGGGTTATCTGCTCGCGCTGCCGGATGCGGCGCAGGCCCCTGTGCTGGTTCCTTGCAGCGTGTTTGTGTTTTGCAAGTTTTCTATTCCGCTCCTGCAGGAGAGTTACATAAGGATAAGGGCAAATGGGCTATAAATGGGATCTAGGTACATTTCCCATAGGAAAGAAAGATCCTGATTCATTTTGGTTTCACCTACTGCTTTTTGCAGCCCTGAGCTCTGTCCGCCC